ATTCAGCAGTGTCAAAACTATAGGTGTTGATAAACAACACTCTTAAATTCATTGTCACATTCAATTAGTTTCTAAATTACACCAAATTGTTAGAAAAAGAATAGTAATTTAATAAATGATTTTATCCTAATTAACAAAAATATATTCTGAATTACATTTACTGAACAAATATTCTTCTGCTGTCTATATCAGCAATTTATAATTGAGTTCATCAGCAGAAATTTGATATGTGCCACAAATGTGAATCTTATTAAAAAAACTGAATATTACAAGAGAAAAATCTACATCAAATTCTATGTGGGCATGTAACAAATTTAAATAATTTTTTATTTTGAATAAATATTAAATGTATATCCATCAAAACAGTGTCTTTTACTGAAGGAATTCAATTAATTGGAATTGCCCCAAAAGTATTTTAATCAACCTCTGGTACACATTATTACTATGTGAGAAAGATATGTTTAAAGTAACTAGGAACGAAGTTTAATATGATGTAGTGTAGTGCACTAGTGTAGTCAAATAAGGGTAAACAAAAACATGCATGTATTGCTGGGAAGAAGCCTCTTTAAATGTTTCCATAATGTAAGAGGCTCTAACACTTAAGAAGAAAGTTGCATTTTTAAAGTAACTTACTTTTGTCTTTTATGTACCATATTCAAATGATCTCTTGTCTTATATACATGATCACAGATAGTTTGTCAATTGATACGACTGACTGCATTCTAGTTACCAACTGTGGGCAATTAACTTTTTCAATTGATTTGAGTTGTTTATTAAAAGCCATGCTGACTGATAACTGCAGTTTTGTAAGCTAGTTCTGACAGCAATTATAAATAAACTACTCCATTACATAATTGTAGGTTAATTAGACCATTAAAAAATTTTGACTGATTGAATTGACTTATTGTCTGATTGGTCTGAATGAAATTCAAGAATATATATTTATAATAATACAGGTTGCAGTAACTAGTTCCAGTGAAATAGTAGTGTAACTATCAAATAGTTTATAGTGCATACAGATATTTTTGAGTTGGTATTTATAAATGAATTCTGCAAACAAAGTACCCCTAAACCACATAGTTCTGCTTTTTAAAAGCTAGAATTTACATAGTATAATTTGGTTTTCACAAGCCATATCTGTGAGCATGAAGCAGAGATGTTAGTATTTGGGAAAGATACTAGAAGATGCAGTCACAATCATGGGTTGCCTAAGGCAGTCATCTGTTTCACCTAACTGGTACGGGTCACTTTATCCTCTAGAAAATTCTCAAGTTTAGGAGTTTTCAGAAACACACTAAAGAAAGAGGATCTTAAATGGAGAAGCAATCAGTATTTGAGCCTGTCGTTCTCAAACTTTAATAAGCATGAGAATCGTGTGAAGAGTTTTAAATAGACATTTCTTAATGCCACCTCCAAAAGTTTCTTTTTCAGTAGCTCTGGGATAAGGCTCAATAATTTGAATTAGTAACAGTTGCCCAGGTGATGTTATGCTGCTATGGAGAGACCACACTTTTGAGAACCACTGGCTTACACAAATCAAGCTTCATTCTATTTCAAATTTCAGAGTTGTAAGGAAAATTCATCTTTATAGGCAATTGTTTTCTTAGGCCAAACTAAAATAATTGCCGGCGTGTTTTCCGCCTGCCTTCTTGGGAGGTATGAGTCAGCACACTTATGTAATCAAGGTGTTATCTCCTATGTGGACCCAAGTGATCACGCTTTCCCATGGCATGTTGCCACTATGGTTCTGAGCCATATATAAACTCTTGCCATGTTCTTGGCTGTGCTCTCTACGCCACTGCATCCTCCCAACAATAAAGAACATATCTCATTTGCCTGCTGCCACCTACTTCTTCTTTTAACTCCTGAAAGCCTACTCTGGGGCATTCACTAGCCATAAAGCCCACTTCCCACAAGAGTATAAAAGGAAAAAAAATTAAAGAAAATAATGAATAACTATGAACAAATAAAGGCATGTGTGAGAAAACTATTGGACTGGATATACCCAGATAAGTGTAATACTGACTTAATTTCTCTTTATCTTTAATTTTGATGATTTTCCAGGGATGATCTACCTATTTTCAAATGATGATGGGTAGTAACATACAATGCTGCTAATTGCCCTTATAAAAGCCTTCTCTTTGGATATCCAGGGTCTTTTGACTTTCTTTATGAAACTTAAGATTGTGTTTTCTATGTTGGTGAAGAGTGTCATTATTAGTTTGATATAGATTGCATTAAATCTGTAGATAACTTTGGATAATCTTGATATTTTAACAGTATTAATTCTTCAAATCCATAAACATGAGATATCTTTCCATTTATTTGTGTCCCCTTCAATTTCTATTATCAATGTTTTATAGTTTTCATTGTAGAGATCTTTCAACTCCTTGGTTAAGTTTATTCCTAGATATTTTGTTTTATTTTTTATAACTATTTTTAATGGAATTGATTTCTTGACTCTATTTCAGATAGTTTGCTATCAGCATACAGAAATATATTGATTTTTATATAATGATTTTGTATCCTAGAACTATACTGAATTTTTTTTACTAGTTCTAACAGTTTTTTTGGTAAATGAATTAGAATTTTCTCTCTATATAATCATATCATCTGCAAATACAGACAATGTTGAGCAAAAGAAACAAAGCTTGAAGTATCACACTACCAGATTTGAAAATGTACTACAAAGCTATAGTAAACAAAACAGCATGGTACAGGCATAAAACAAACATATAGACCAATGGAACAGAATAGAGAACCTAGAAATGAATCTATGCATTTCCAGTCTACTGAGTTTCAACAAAGATGCCAAACATACACATTAGGGAAAGAATAGTATCTTCAATAAATGGTGTTCCGGAAACTGAATCTCCATATTCAGAAGAATGAAACTATACCCCTATCTCTCACCATATACAAAGATCAACTGTCAATGGATTAAAAATTTAAATGCAAAATCCAAGACTTTAAGACTGTTGAAGAAAACATAATGGAAATGCTTGATGACATTAGACGGGTAAGGATCTTTTGAATAAGACCTCGCAATCAACAGAAGCTTTTAAATTTCATCAGGTCCCATTTATTTATTTTTGTTGTTGCTGTGATTGCCTTTGGGGTCTTCTTCATAAATTCTTTCCCTAGGCTAATGTCTATAAGAGTTTTTCCAACATGTTATTCTATAATTCTTATAGTTTCATGCCTTAGGTTTAAATCTGTTATCCATCGTGAATTGATTTTTGTGAGAGGTGAAAGGTGTGGATCCTGTTTCAGTCTTCTATGTGTGTGGCTATCCAATTTTCCCAGCACCATTTATTGAATAAGGATTCTTTTCCCCAGTGTATGTTTTTGTCTGCTTTGTCAAAGATTAGATGGGTATTTGAGGGTAGTTTTATTTCTGGGTTGTCAGTTCTGTTCCATTGGTCTATGTCTCTGTTCTTATACCAGTTTCATGCTATTTTAGTTACTATAGCCTTGTAGTACAGCTTTAAGTATGGTAAATTGATGCCTCCCAATTTGTTCTTTTTGCTTAAGATTTCTTTTGCTATATGGGGTCTTCTATGGTTCCATATGAAGTATAGAATTATTTTTTCTAGATCTGGAAACTATCATGAGAGCAGACAATCTACAGAATGAGAGAAAATATTCACATTGCTACACATTGATAAAGGGTTGATAACTAGAATCGACATAGAATTCAGGAAAGTCAGCAAGAAAAAAATCAAACAACCTTATTAAAAAGTGGGCAAAAGAAATGAACAGAAACTTTTCAAAAGAAGACAGACTTATGGCCAGCAAACATGAAAAAATGCTCAACATCTCTAATCATCAGAGAAATGCAAATCAAAAACACAATGACATATCACCTCTTCCCAGTTAGAAAGGCTATAATTAAAAAAAAAAATGCTTGTGAGGATGTGGACAAAAGGGAACTCTTGAGCAGTGTTGACGGGAATATAAAGTAGTACAGCCATTATGGAAAACAGTATGGAGTTTCCTTTAACAAAGTAAAAAATTGAACCACCATATAATCCAGCAATCTCATTACTGGGTATATATTAAAAGGAAATAATATCAGTATGTCCAAGAGACATCTGCATACACATGTTTATTGCATCGCTATTCACAATAGCTAAGATGTGGTACATATATGCAATGGAATACTGTTCAGCCATAAAAGAGAATTAAATCCTGTCATTTGTGACCACATGATTGAACCCGGAAGACATTGTGTTAAGTGAAATAAGCCAAGCACAGAAAGACAAACAGTGCATGATATCATCACTCATATGTGGAATCTATGTGGAATCTATAAAAGTTGATTTCATAGTAGTAGGGAGTAGAATAGTGGTTACGAGAGTCTAGGGATGGTAAGGAGGAGGGGCCAGGAGAAGTTGATCAATGAATAAAAAGTTACAGTTAGATAGGAAGAATAAATTTTGGTGTTCCCAGTAGTATGACCATAGCAAATCATAATGTAGTATATATTTCAAAATAACTGGAAGAGATTTTGAATGTCATCACCACAAAGAAAAGATGCTGAAATAAAATAAAAATAAAGTGTATCACTTATAAGCAATAAAAAAGAAAGAAAAGATAAACATTTAAAGTGAATTATATAGTAATTATCCCAATTTGATCATTATACAATGTACACCTGCACTAAAGTATCACATTGTACTCCATAAATATGTACAATTATTGTGTCCATTACAAATAAAAAATTATATTATAAAATAAAAATAGATTTTAAAAAGCCATTGTCTATTTTGAACTGATATTTTTGAAAGACAAATGTCTACCAAATAGGCTACATAGGTGAAAACTTTTTAATAAAAATTGATTTTAACTTTCTTAAGTGGAATAATTTTAATCCAATAAAAATATGCAACTTGAAGCATGACCATATGGGATTAAACTTTCTCAAAATATCTATTTAGAATCAGCAGGATTTTTAACTGCATAACTAATTATTTTATTGATTTGATAGAGGTTCCTACCAGCTGTGTACCTTGGTCCCCATGTGGACCTCTCAACAATCACAGTGAGCTACTGAACACCTGTCAGGAAGGAAAAAGTATAATGAATTGTAGAAAATAACATGAATTATAAAATGTTCTACAGTCTAAAACCTCAATGTTGCATAATATGTTTTAAGTTTATTCTCTAGCTCATTTTCCTCATCTCTCTCTTAATATCCTACCCCCTCCTTTCTCAGAAAAGGAAGACTAAAAGACATGGCAATCCCCAAACTCCACCAGCTAGTTGCACTAGACATTTCTTCAAATTTCTTCCTTTTAAATTTCCTTGCTTTCTATGATATTATCCTATTCTCGTCTTTGCCTTTCTTAGTGACCAACAACTGGCTCTGGTAGGTGTAGTGGTTTTAGTTTCATGATTAGGGCAGTCAATCAACAGAGGAAATTAAAACTGCACTTTGACATATATCTGTATATATCAGACATTAATGCATTTTGAAAGGGGCAGCTGAATTTCAAGATGGTGAGAATGGTGTGGAAAATTATATGTGCATATACAGGTTGCATATCCCTTATCTGAAATGCTTGAAACCAAAAATGTTTTGATTTTGAATTTTTTCATATTTTGGGATATTTGCATATACATAATAAGATATCTTAAGAATGAGACCCAAGACTAACATGAAATTCACTTTTGTACCATACACTGCTTATACACATAGCCTGAATTTAATTTTATAAACATTTTTAATAATTTTGTATACAAAACAATGTTTTGACTGCCCTTTGACTATGACCTGTCGTAAGAGGTCAGGTGTGAAATATTTTAATTGTGGTGTCATGTTAGCTTTCAAGAAGTTTCAGATTTTGGAGTCCTTCAGATTTTGGAGCACTTCAGATTTTGGATTTTCAAATTAGGGATGATCAACCTGTATAGGCATACCTCACAGATATTCTGGGCTTGGTTACAGACAATCACAATAAAGTGAGTCACACAATTTTTTTTTTTGCTTCCCAGTGCGAATAAAAGTTATGTTTATACTGCACTGTAGCCTATTAAGCATATGATAGTATTACGTGTAAACAACAATGTACACACCTTAATTAAAAATACTTTAATGCCAAAAAGTAGTAGTAGAAATGTTCATTCCTGTTCAGAAATATTTATATAATGTCATTTGACAAGGACACTTTTTGATCCAAGCAGGACTGGAAAAAAAGAAGGCTTTTAAGATTATGTTATCAGTACTGAGTTTTGCAGTGATAAACTCACAGGTAAATGTCCTTTTGATATGTTGATTGGGCCAGGGATAAAGACTTACATAGGCTTCCGTATTTTTAACCCTAATATATTCTTAAACTTTATGTCAGTTTCCCATCATATAGCTTAGTAAAAGAGCCAAAACAGGTAAGTAGACAAATAATGCTGCAAAACAAACTATAGTATTTCTTTAAAAAGCAAAGATGCTAAAAAAAGTTCTGGAGTATTTAGATGGGAATATTATATTTGATAGGTGGAATCAGCATTATTAAGGAGTGTTTTAAAGGGGTACTTCTAAGTAATTTGGTTTTAAGTATCATTTTTGATTAGTTCAATCAATTAAGAATTGAGAGTCAGTATACTTTAGTGGAAAGAGCAAAGACTTCAGAGTTTTGAGGAAACATTGAGTATTAAAACCCCAGATATTCTGGTTTTCTCTTATTTCTAGCAAGTCTTCACCTCTCCAAGCCTAAATTTACTTTATATAAAATGAGGAAAATAATATCTAATGCCCAGAGATGTTTGTACGATTAGATTAGAATATCTAAAGCAAATAGCATACTTCTTGCCATGAAATAAATTCACACTGAGTAGTAACTATTATTTTAAGCTACATTCTAAACTCCATTGTATGGGATTTCATTTATTAGCCATATACTTTGACAATATCCCTGTCTTCCACAGACACTATTATAACCTTCTTGAATTTTCATTGTTTAGGTTACATACGCTTGCCATCTTCGCTGAAAATGTTTTTCAAATCAAAGTATTAATGTAAGAATAAAATATCACAAAATATGATTACTTTGAGAAATATATTGATTTAAGGTTATGTTACATTTATATGCTCATGATGTAAGTATTCATAGGAAATTTAGAGCTATTACAGTATATGTGACTTTGATGCAGTTAACAATATAATATGATTAAATACATTAGGTGATTGTGTGTTTAATAAATTATTTTGCAATGTAAAAATAAAGTTATTTGAAATAGAAGAATGGAAAAATAAATTGTAAGATAACCAGAATTGGTGTGTTGGACTATGCCGATTTTTCAGTAGGGCAGTTGTTTTTGAACCCTTGGTGCTTCTTGTAGTGCCTTGTAGGATATTCTTGTAGAAATATCCTAGATATTTAAAAGAAAATAAACTTGTGAAATTGGAGTTAACATTTCCAGTATGTTCATTATATCTTCTTATATTGCAATTGGTATTAGTTGGTACTTAATAAATGTTTGTGGAAATTGTGACTAATCTGAGTCAAATCTGAGGCATACATTTAACTTTTGGCCTTTATAGTCTGCATTTTTTACTCTTGTTCACAGTTCATCTGATTCTGATTCATAATTACATTTTTACTATTTTTTTTTAGTATATGCTTTTCATTAATATACCTGAAATCCTATGTGAAATCAGACTAATCACCAAAACAAATAGACTAATCACCAAAACAAATAGACTAATCACCAAAACAAATAAACTCCCAGGTCAGTATTTGTTCAGATAAAACTTGGCATCTGTATCATCTATGTTAAAAAAAATTGCAAAATAAATAATATTTTGTATTTTTGTGTGTCTGTGTGTTCTAATAAAGGGACACATTTTCTATGGTCACTATCATTAGTTTGTCACGGATATAAAGGAACAAGGAAATATATCTTAGTGGCTTGACCAGAACCATTAATAATAGGCTGTATTATTACCTCTGTGACTCCCACTGTCCTTTTTGACACACTGAATGGTAAAGTGTATGTAGATTTCTCTCAGCTTTTCAGAATCCAAACAGGCTATATGACCAAATAATCCTTTTATGCAATGTAGTATAGTTTTTATACATTTTCTAATTTTCTTTTTTCAAGTCATGTATTTTTCCTTGGTTGCTTCTGAATAGAGGTATTTAAAATAACTTACTCTTTCTCATCCACTTTGTTGTTCTTCCATTTATCTTCCTATGCAGCTTTGAACCATGCAGTGCCTGATTCTTGAAGCAGGAAAAGCAGGTGTCCTGTTTGATTGTGGCCTTGAAATCAGGCCACATGAGAAAAGGGACAGGCCAACCAACTTCTGTGGAAGGAAAGTTGGACTAAAGGAAACTGCTTCAGACAAGAAATCTATCTACAAAGAAGTCATTAAGCAAGTATCCAGAAATCCTTCACATGAAGAGATAGTATGTTGTTGGCAGTGTATAAGACAAAATGAATATATGTGTATTATCAAGGTGAAGCATGTTTCAAAGCAACTAAGTCTTTGAGTTAGTAATCATTCATTTACTCATTCAACAGTCATTCAATCATTTATTCAAAAATATAGCATCTACTAAATGTTAGTCATTGTTCTAATCAATACCTGGGGATACCAGAGGACCTTAAACAAAACAAAGTACCTGCACCAATGAAGTGGTTATTCCAGTGGAAGAAGCAGGAAATAAACAAATATAATATCACAAATGATAAAGTCTGTAAAGGAACATAAAACAGAATAAGAGGATAGAATCTGTGGCTATTATTTTAGATAGGGAATATCTATGGTCAGGGAAGTTCACTACTTCTCATATACAACAGAGAAAAAAAAAGATCTACATCTAGTCTTCTTTACTTTCCAATGAATACTGATACAATTTTTTAAGGAATTCTAAAGATTTTTTGGGAACTTGATAATGTCATCCCCCTGATTATGTTTTAGCTTACCGGAGACAATCAGCTCTCCCCATTCAGTTGTGCAGATATTAATAGTCTGGTAGAAAATATTTTGTTTCCCAGCAGTCTATCGAGCTTGCAATTCAGCATCTGGTTAACAGTGAATATAGCAGAGATAGCATTCCTAGGAGGAGAGAAGTGGAAAGATAAAAACTACACCTCATGACAATTCCACAAGGATTTTAAACCAAGAAAAGAAACCTGGTCTTTTGGAACACCTTAATCCCTTATATTTTACTGGGTACTTTCTGCCATTGCTTTTTGGAAACGCTAGCATAACGCATAAGACACCCCACTTAGTCAAACATTCCTATGGTCCTCTTGGTTTTCAGCATTTCAGAGATGTGGGATTGAGGAGAAAGAATATTTTCACCAGGTCCATCAGGCCAGGATGTGTTCCTGTAATTCTAATCCGGAACTTAGAACCCATATTCCAATAGAGATGTTATTATGAGATGTTATTGCACAAGCTACTTAGGGCTTGTGGTAATATTATTTGCCCACTCTATTATTTATTTTCATTAGCTTCGCTTGCCTTTAATCTTATATAGTCATATACATACATACACATACACACACATATATATAATGCATACATAATGTAACTATATTTTATTTATATTCTCTTTGGAATTAAAAAGAATTAAAGAATTCTTTAATTAAGAATTTAAAAAATATTAGTGAAGACCAACTTGGGAAACAACTTATAACCTATAACCACCACAAACAATATTATATGGTAAAATGAATTCCAGATGCCAAACAAATGACAACAAAGTACTAAGAGAATTTTACCTGTTTGTCAAGTTGGAAACTGGTTTGCATTGGAGCTTCTGAATAGAATCTAATAAACTCTCTATAAAGAACAATGGAAGAATTCAAGACCAGCCTCAGCAAGAGTGAGACCTCGTTTCTACTAAAAATAGAAAAAATTACCTTGGCATCATGGTGCACCCACTTATAGTCCCAGCTACTAGGGAGGCTGAGGCAGGAGGATCGCTTGAGCCCAGGAGTTTGAGGTTGCAGTGAGCTATAAGACGCCACTGCACCCTACCCAGGGTGACTCTCAAACAAACAAACAAACACCAGAACAATGGAAGACATAATTGCCCACGAAGCTTACACACAGTATCATTCTCTATAGAATGAAGAAAAACCAGAAAATGACTGATTTCCCACATATAAGTTAAAATGATAGACTATCATATAGTTGCTCCCTTACATTTTTTCCTTTCCAAAATGTCTTTAAAACTGTAGTATCAGGAATAAAACCTCATAAAAAATTTAATATCATGAGTTATTTTGTAGAAGGGAAATTAATTCACATATATTACTAAATAGAAGTCCCGAATGGTAAAGCTCTTCCTGGAAAAGGTTATTTGTAATGACCAAATTCGTCACTGTTTGGAATCTCGTAAAGGTCATAATAGAAGGTTTTCACTTGTTTTAAATAAAATTCTATATTTTAAAAATAAATATGCTTTTCTTCCATTTCATAGAAATATCAACGCTGTTTGCACTATAATTTACTTTTTGAGCCTCTGACATTTACCCAGCTGACTGTCTTTGGAGAACAATCTCTTGACTGAGAAGTACTCTAGGTAAGAAAACTGTCAATTACAAATTACTGTTTGATGCATTGCAAAGTGCAGGAACTCTTCAGATTTAAAGAATTACCTTGTTAAATATTTTTGCGTCTACTAAATCTAACTTAAATCTAAAACAGAGCCTTTTTATAAATGCAGAGCAATTTGACTAACAAAGATAACATCAAGAAAGAGGAATTCCTCAATTAAAAGAATAATTGTGCTATCAACCTAGTAGTGGAGTATTGCTACGTTTATAAAATGTTAAATTAGGTTTGAAATATTTTGAAAGTCTCAGTGTTATAGACTTACCTTGTTATCTTGAGGGAAATATATTTTATTCATAAAACAAGTAATTGAAATTTTGACTTAGAATGGCACAATTTATATACATATATAATTTAATTGTAGAATTGGCATTATTTTTAATCATGTAAGAAGAATAAACATATAATATATTGAGGTCCATGTTTTGTATTTATTCTGAACATATTTTCATACGTATGCTCCATAAACAAGATACATTCTCCAAAAGTAAATACTTTTAAAGAATAATTCAAAGTGATATTTAAAAAGGAAAAAAAAAGCCAATGGGACCTAAACTGACTGTCAAATGGTTTTTTTTCTTGCAATTGGTGGCATTGTAAATTATGTTTTTACAAATGTATGATGTAACACATTAATCTAATTTATGCCTTCAGTATCATGTGTATTTATCAAACTTTTATTGTAGAAATATTTGATAAACTTTTACCTCCAGTACACATTCTTGAAAATATTATACATTTAAAATTGGAATCATAACATTTGCTAAAAAAGAATTTCACCTTTCAGTAAAATTCAGTGTAAGCTCTGGAATGAATGACAGGCAAGTACCTTTATATTCACATAGCAATCCTTTCCAAAAAGAAACAAGATTAAATTACTCTTATTATGGCTAAAGGTGAGTTTAAAGGTCTGTTTGGATTTATTCAAATAAAACTTGTGTCTTAAATATGTATCATTTTAAGATATCCATGTTTTATTTTAAAATATTAAGATAAATATTAAGATAAAATATTAAGATAAAATAAATATGTTAAATATTTTATTTATTATTATATTATTATTTTATTTATTTATCTAAAATATTTAAAATAAAATATTTTAAATATTTTAAGATAAAATAAAACATTATTCAATTACATTTTATTTTATAGAGCTGATATACATATATACAGTTTATATAGCATTAGAGCTGATCTATATATTTGGGAGATATATACACACATATAGTTGCACACATGCAAACTTACATGTGTTTGTGTACACACAGTGAGTGCTCGGATGATTGTTCCTTTGTCACTTTTCAATATCTAGTGAAATCATTATGACTGCTTTTTATAGACAAAAATGTTCCACTTTGATTCTATGATATTCCACAAAATATATGACTTGACAAATCAGGGCTGGTTTGTATAATGAGTGCCAAAATTAATTTATACCTTCATTAATGCATTCTTTCAGAAATTTCATGTTAGGTGCTGAGCTCTGAGTTACAATTTCAAATAAACCAATGATTTTGTCTTCCAAGAGGTCACAATCTCATTGAGGCAAGCAATTAAACAGGTAACTTAAACACAATGTAAGAAATAATATTATACAATGAAGATAAAGTTATGGGAACATATCAGACAAGCAGTTGAGGGGTTTATGGGTGACTTCCAAGAGTATATGACTTCTAAACTAGATTGTAAAGGATTACCAGAAATTGGCTAAACAAATAGTGGGCAGTATGAAATAGGCAGACCTGGTAACTAAAAGCAACATTAATAGTTTTGCAATGAAAAGACAGATCAAATACAAGTAAATATGTTACTACATTCTTAATTCCCTCATTTCCAAAGTACCCCTTATTGATAACTAATCAAAAAGTCCACAGTTTTCATCTGAACAGGTTGATGGAGTTTAGACAACAATTTCCAAGTCTAGACTGCAATGATTTTTGCAGACTCCTGCATTCAATTGTTTGTTTCTCTTTGAGCAAATGAGACTTTAAATAGCTCATTTAGTGTTTGGCTTCCTAATTCCATTTAAGAAATTCCCAACTACCATAAATTATTATGATAATTCAGATTATGGTTTAAATAACATAAATTCTTAAAATTAAGATTTGGTTTTTTAAAAGGTGATTATATGGTGGTGTCATTTCCAGGTTCAAGTTGAAAATCAGACTTTGTCTTTCTCTAGGCCTAATTCTATGTATTGCATACTGTTTTGGGGCACATGATTATCTGTCAGACACCTGCAACGTGTTTCATTGCTATGATCAAAAGTGTGCCTTCTTTCATCTGTTCGTTCTTTCTTGTTATTTCCCTGAACTTTGCTAGCATAGAGGGCATCCTTATTAGAATGTTCATCAAACAGAGGTTTCAGCACTGCCTGTGTTAATAAAATCATCAGGCATTCCTTTATAGGCATGACAGGGAGAGACTACTCATCTATCATGAGTGTTTCATTAAGTGCCACAGAGCCAAGAGCTCCAGGAACAATGCCAGATTTTAAAAAAATATTAGGGTTTCAGAATCATGGATTTTCCCTCATTTCAAGATCTGTCCAATTTGTGGAGTTACTCGCCTGTGCATTATCACAGCACCCCTTGACACACAGAATACAGACACTTTGATTTGGATCCTTTTGTATTTTTGAATGGATAACTCAGAAAAATGTTCTGCTCAGTAACTTGTCCTTGTCACACAAAAAATGGACAAAGAAGAAAAAAAATCTTCAAAGTTCCAGTTAAAATTCCCTCTACAAAAGACTTTGCAAAAGAGTTAATCTTCTTTGTATTATAATTTCAGTTTTTAACCAAATGCTCACATATATTTTTGTAAACCTTATCTACAAAGAGGGTTACTGTTGAACAATTTCATTAAGATTTATACCTTGAGTTATGCCAGGAAACCTATTCAAACATCTATACGTCCCCCTGACACAGATCAACCATCTAATAATAGTAGAGCTACCTGAATGAAGTTAAATAATAAAAATACTGTTTTAAAAAAGATATAGCAAATTGCTTATGTCTGTTCTTTCCAGAGGGCACATCTATAACCTCTAAAGCATGCCTTTGGTCTGCAATGAATCAAATATTTTCTTCTCCAGTCAATGATAGAGAATTGACCATGTTGAACCTGCAGGTGATGTCTACACTGCCTTCCCCATCAGGTTTACATTGAGTAGCAAAATCACCCCTCCTTGACACCTGCCCATTACACACTGTTTTAGATGTGCTCTGGTGGTAGCATCCCTGTTGTCCTACAGACAAATCCTCAACTTGAGTGTATGTTGATAGAAAGTTGGCGTCTGAGCTACCATTCCATTGATAGAGAAGCTGCCACCCTACTCTTGGACAAAAAAGCTTTGTCATTGAACTGTTACGATATGTCACAAATATCTACCACTGGTAGACTTGCAAATTTGCCAGGAGGAAAGGTTTTATTTGCCTCTGGAGCCAGTCATTAGCCTAGGAATCATAAAGCTATTTTTTTCCCACCCACAATTTGGCCTCTACCCCCAATCCTAAAATTCTTTACCTAGGTTCCAAGATGGAAATAAGACTAATTTTTGTGTCTTGGTCTTTAACCTCTACATTGTAAGGTTAGGTGGATGAGATCAACAAGGTGGCTGGGACCTGATCTTTGAAACCAAAGCTTCCCATAAACAAAACACGTACTCTACCATGTATCATAAGAATTAAGATTAGACAAAGAAAGAGAAGAGTGGAATACCAATTTTGGTTCACTAAGTTAACATAAAGCTATAAAACACAGTCACAAATTTAAATTCCATGCATTTAATCACATGTGGTAATAAATATTAATAGTTTTTCATTCC